AACCTTAAAAAATACTATCCTTTAATGTGTATTGTACTATGTTCTCCAAAGCATTTGATTTCATGTATTTGTATAAATACATTTCTGACTCCAATTGTGCTCATGGCTTAAAGCTCTATTGCTTGAATCAGCAAACTTTCAGAGTAAATATATCCTATTACTCACAGTGCTTAGGTTGTGCAATGAATTTTACCATTCAAGTATTTCAAAGGTCCAAAAATCCTAGTTCTCATTCTTCAAAAAAATTTGTACTAGCTAGTCATCTCCCAGAACATCATTCTTTCTCTCTCTCTCCCTTGCACTGACAGGTGTTACATCAGAGAGGTCAAGAGTGACGATTCAGGAGCCAGACTGCCTGGACTGAATACCAGTTAGATCTCTAGCTGGTTATATGTCCTTTACCAATTAGTGCTTCGATTTTCTGATAAGTAAAATGACAATGTATGTAAAGTGTTGGTATATATAAAATGTTTAGAAGAGTGACTATTATTTTAATATAATTTAATATACTAAAATCATCACAGGAAGAAATAAAAAAATTATGTGTGTGTATATATTATGTAAATATATATAACATATATTACACATATATTATATATATAGTTGTTGTTCAGTCATCCAGTCATGTCAGACTCTTTGTAACTCCATGGACTGCAGCACGCTAGGCCTCCATGTCCCTCACCATCTCCCAAAGTTTGCCCAAGTTCATAGCCATTGATCAGTGATGCCACCTAGCCATCTCATCCTCTGATGCCCTCTTCTTCTGCCCTCAACTTTCCCAGCATCAGGGTCTTTTCCAATGAGTCAGCTATTTGGATCAGATTTTCAAAATACTGGAGCTTCAGCTTCAGCATCAGTCCTTCCAGTGAATATTCAGGTTGATTTTCCTTAAGATTGACTGGCTTGATCTCCCTGCTGTCCTGTGGCCTTTCAGGAGTCTTCTCCAGCACAACAGTTTGAAGGCATCAATTCTTTGGCGCTCTGCCTTCTTTACGGTCCAGATCTCACAATCATATGTGACCACAATCATATGGAAGACCATAGCCCTGACTAAACAAACCTTTGTCGGCAGAATAATGTCTGTGCTTTTCAACATACTGTCTAGGTTTGTCATAGCTCTCCTGCCACAGAGCAATCGTCTTCTGATTTCATAGCTGTAGCCACTATCTGCAGTGATTTTAGAGCCCAAGAAGAGGAAATCTGTCACTACTTCTACCTTTTCCCCTTCTATTTGCCATGAAGTAATGGGGCCAGGTGCCATGATCTTAATTTTTTTTAATACTTAGTTTTAAGCATATTACATATGTAAAAAATATACACACACACGCACATGCACGCACACACACACACAATATGTATATTCTTCAATTTTCTGACCAAAACTTTGCAAGTGTCTATGATCTTAATTTTTTTTAATACTTAGTTTTAAGCATATTACATATGTAAAAAATATACACACACATGCACACGCACGCACACACACACACACAATATGTATATTCTTCAATTTTCTGACCAAAACTTTGCAAGTGTCTCTGGTCTTTTGTAATGGTGTGATTTATCTCCAGGTAAATCAATACTATAGGTAGGCTGCTAACTCAGCATTTTCTCTCTTAAGTTACAAATACCTGCTCTGGAAAGATAGACTCTTCCTGACTGGTCCTATCCATCGAACATAGTTTTCTCTACGCTGTGTGCTGTGGTTAGTCGCTCAGTTGTGCCCGGCTTTTTGCGACCCCATGGACTGTAGCCCACCAGGCACCTCTGTCTATGGAGATTCTTCAGGCAGGACTACTGGAGTAGGCTGCCATACCCTCCTCCAGAGGATCTTCCCAACCCAGGGATAGAAACCCAGTTTTCCCATGTTGCAAGCAGATTTTTTATCGTCTGAGCCACCAGGGAAGCCTATTATTTCCCAAAGGGAAGTAAGCAACTCTTTTTCTTCTCACAGCAGGCAGCAGATTTTCTTGTAATCAATGGATCTTGGGGACCACTATTACTATGTGGGACTTCTCCAGAAGATTTAATTTCTGCCAGTGGGATAAGATTTCTTATTATGTATCTCCATGGCTCTCTTGCCTCTTTGTCTTAAATGCTTCTATATTTGGAGTTATGCAAGCATATGGCAAGCATTATACAAAGTATAGCTGTAATTTTTTCATGCTTGGATCCAGTCTCCTTGAAAAGACCTTTACACTTATTTAGTAATCAGAGGGGCAAGATTTATTTATCCCTTGTTTTCTCCTGTGTGTTGTTGTTCACTCACTAAGTCGTGTCTGACTCTTTGTGACCCTGTGGATTGCAGTACACCAGGCTTCCCTGTCCTTCACTATCTCCGACAGTTTGTTCAAACTTAAGTCCAAGGTGTAGATAATGCCATCCAACCATCTTATCCTCTGTTGTCCCCTTCCCCTCCTACCCTCAATCTTTCCCAGCATAAGGGTCTTTTCCAATGAGGCAGCTCTTTGTATCAGGTAGCCAAAGTATTTGAGCTTCAGCTTCAGCATCAGTTCTTCCAATGAATATTCAGGGTTGTTTCCCTTTAAGATTGACTGGTTTGATCTCCAAGCAGTCCAAGGGATTCCAAAAGCCTTCTTCAGCACCATAGTTCAAAAGCATCAATTCTTCAGCGCTTAGTCTTCTTTATGGTCCAACTCTCACATCCATACATGACTACTGGAAAAAGCCATAACTTTGACTATACAGACCTTTGTCAGCAAAGTGATGTCTCTGCTTTTTATTAAAAATACACTGTCTAGGTTTTGTCACGGCTTTCCTTCCAAGCAACAAACATCTTTTAACTGCATGGACACAGACACCATCTGCAGTGATTCTGGAGTTCAAGAAAATATAATCTGTCACTGTTTCCACTTTTTCCCCATCTATTTGCCATGAAGTGGTGGGATAAGATACCTTCTGTGTGTCACACTCTCCTACTCTCTGTTCCCTTGAATGAGGTTTCTTACTCAAATATGAAACTTCAGGGATTCCTATTTTATATTTTTCAGTTATTATATGGAAAAATCTTCACCTCTTTGGTCAGACACTACATACTGAGATATGTTAACATGCTTTTTGGTTGCACACCACAGTTGACCCATCTCTATCTCTAACTAGTGGTTTTAAAGTACTGTATTGGCTCAGGTAACTGAGAAGTCAATGAGGGCTTGAGTAAATGGTCAAACAATATGACCAGGACTCAGGATCTCTCTTTCTCTTCCATTTCTTAGGATTGCTTCTTTATAGTTGGCTCCATTATTGGGAGGCATTACTTTCATAGTTCAAGATAGCAATTCTTTCAGAGTTATATACGCCCTCATTCATATTCAATAGAAAACAGAGAGTCTATGTTCCTAGCAGTGTAAATAAAACCTAATAGATGCTCTTGTTAACCTGAATTGTGTTTCTTGAACTAAAACTGTGGCTATATATATGCTGGAGGGTTAGTCAGTCTCACCCAAATCATATGACTGGGGAATGTGGTAAAGTGTTAGGAAGAGGGAACTGCAAATGGATGCTGGAGAGGCAACTAACAAATAACCATTTGGCATTCCTCAAGCTTCTTCGTTTCCTGACAAAAGCAACTTGTCAGTTTGGCAACAGCAAGTATTCAGATCACTAGGAACTAACTACTGAAGAGTTATTCAAATCTTTTTGGTTATTCAAATATTTTTCGTGTAATAACATAATACTCAGAATATGACAGCTTGAAAGCTTGATTATGAATACACAACTTACAAATATTTCAGTTTGAAAACCAGGATAATTATTATAGTTGCTGTGGTTGCTTTCTAATATGAGAACACAAAAGACAGTTTGGTATATTTTGGAATGTTTATAATTTATAGTGAAGCTATAGCTGGAGAATTCAGCCATCGACTGAAATTCTTAATCAATTTTATTAACCTATATTTCCTTTTTCTACTTGGCCTTTGACTTGGCTAAGCTTGTTTGTAACCAGACGTGGCTTGTTGAATAGAGGGTTAATGCCACCACTTGGTAGCTTACCTGCCAAGAGATAACCAATACTAGTTTTCCTCCTTGCATCCCCCTGAAATTCTGGATATTTTTTCTTCTAAGGATTATAAACAAGATTATACTTTATTACTTTTCTTATTTTATGTTCATATCAGGGACTGAGTTTTTTTTCTTTTTTGGCAGCCATGGTCTAAATTGTCACTGCTTATTCGGTTATACTTAACCAGTTTAATCTTTTCTAGTCTGACACAAAGTACCGTTTTCACAAAGTACCATTCACAGCTAATGACTGAAAGAAGTGATGGAAAAAAAGTGAAAGTATTAGTCTGACTCTTTGTGACCCCATGGCCTGTAGCCTGCCAGGTTCCTCTGTCCATGGAATTCTTTGGGCAAAAATGCTGGAGTGGGTAGCGATTCCCTTCTCCAGGGGATCTTTCCAACCCAGAGACCTCTTGCATTGCAGGCGGAATCTTTATTGTATGAGCTACCAGGAAAGCTGGAAAGAAGTGATACATACCCTTAAAAGTACAAAGCCTCAACTCTCTAAATGGTTGTAATGCAAACACAGTTATAGAAAAGAAAGATGCAAAATCATAAGAAAAAAAAAGCAAGATTGATATAAATTAAATATTATTTTGACCAATCTGTTTAGATTTTTAAAACTTAATGTGATCTTCTTACGGGAGTATCTTAATTAAGGCAGGCAATATATTTAAAAGTATGTGATGAAATTACTAAAGAAAAAGACTTCTGAGTCATGAATTTCTTGGAAATCATGTGATGAAAGTTCACTGCCACATACTATAAAATCTTAATGATGCTAGAGTACTTCAGGTACAGGAGAAACTATTAAATTCCTTGATGGAAGATTCTCAGTGGCACTGATATTTTCAACAAAAAAGCACTAGTGAAGGTCCTTCAGAATAAAACACATCTTCTGTAATAAGTTACAACCTACCTCCAAGGACAGGAGATAGGCTGTATGCTTGCAAAATCATTAATGCAAAAGCCTCTTGTCTTACCGGTTCCTCTGCACTGCCTGTTGCATCATGGGAATAACTGATGAGACCAGGGATGGGCTGCTCACCGTGTGCCATGATAACAGCAGGACTGGTGTAGAATGGATGCTTCTAATGCACAACACATAACAACGATGAATACAATGACAGGAAAACATGAAACTATACAAGCAAAATGACTGGAAAGGAAAAAAGTTGAAAACAAATGGAACACTGAGATGCCCAAAATTCGCAAATGTATAATGACAAAATCAGCTTAGAATTCAGATGGTATACGCTTTTTTTAAGGTTGAAACTGATGGTACTTTTAACTCTTTTAATTAAGAGTAAAAGAAAGAGAACATATGATGATTTAATAATGTACCTATTTCATCAATCAGTTCCATAAAAACAAAACAAAATGAAATAAAACAAACCTCACACATAACTTAAATACTTACTACCCTAAGTAAGGACTTAATGGATCACTGAATGGATCTGGAGATGGAATGATCCAGTTTTCAGTGAAGGAACCATCTACTAGTTGGCTGAATGGACACTTCAAAAGGAGCTCTATGATTCTTTTCAATATACATGTTGTCAAAAAATCCTCTCATGCTAAGCTCATAGCTAAAATTTCTGGACGAGCCATAAAACTTGAGGAATTACTTCATATATGATTAGATTACCAATCTTTACATTCTCGATCAATGAACAAGCATGACTTCCAGAAGGGATATGCTACTGTCTAAAGATTTTAAAGTATCCAAGGTGGGTTATATGACATATGGTTAATAATGTAAATCATGTTCTGTGACTCTGAGATGACAATGAAATTTACAGCAGTAATGTATGGTACTATTTACTGTACTAAGTACTGTATGGTACTATTTACTCTCAGAATTGCTCAAAGAGAACTTGCAATATTTTGATATTACTTTAATAATATTTATTGCTTTATTAAATTAAAAATACAAATACCTTACATCCCTTTCTTCTCCATATGACTGGTGTAAATTGTGTGCAACAGTTAAATAAATGGTAGTTAATTGATGAACAGTCTTGTCTTTAAAAAAAAATTTATTAATCTTTCTCAACTAATTCCTTGAACCATCTTAGGTCTCTTACTCTCTTTTGATGCTCCTTTAAGAATTTGTGAATATTTGATGTTCTGAATACATAAACATTATATATTTAATATGATCACAAAACTGACATCTTCAGAGTTATTAAATGTCACATTGTTTATTATGGGAGTTACTACTTCAATAGGTAACAGCAGAATCTTTAATGCCTCAGAACTCAAAACAAAACTGAAATGTTTCAAGAACTCAACATAATGGAGGGAATACAGCTGTAGAGTGTCATGAATATCCCAGTTCTTTTTAAAGGATGCCACAAAGTTGTATTTAACTTATAGAAGAATGGGATGGAAAGAGAGATGAAATCAATACATGTACCTGTGGGTTCTTTAGATCTCTGGGTCTCTCCCAACAGGCTTACCTTGGCCGCAATGGCTGCTGCAGTTATATGTGATGAAGAACTATCTTCTGTTGAAGCAACACCACTATCTTTCTTCTCTTCTTCCTCTTCCTCACATTGAACCCCTTTGTCTTCTGTCTGTTTATGGGGGCTAGTTGTGGGAGGAGGGGAAAGAGGTGGTGGCGGGGAAGGTAAATCTTCAAGTTCATCATGAACTTCCTTTACTTTTACAATGGCATCACGTAAAAGGTCAATGGCATGAGGTAGGGCTGGTAGTATGAACTGAAAGCATTCCTGTATGCAAGAGGAAGGAAAAAAACGAAGATAAAGTATTTTTATAGGCATGCAAAATGGGAGCAATCAAATTTATTTGTGATTTTGGATTTACTTGTGATTTTCTCTCCATCTGTCTTAAGAATGAATTATATTTAATGTATTGTCTTTGCAATGCGAAATATGAAGTAAGCTGGTATATATTACAGTACTCTCCATAAGCTGAAGAACTCTAGTATATAAGCACACAGCAAATTTTTTTTTTAAGTAAGATTTCTATACAATTTTGGGATTTAAAGATAGATTATGAGAGAGCAGGTAACAGTTTTTACCTTTCTGGTAAGAGAAAGATACTAGAACTAACAAACCGACTGAATACTGAACTATTTTATTCAGAGAGCTTAGGTTCTGATTACAATTGTAAAGTACAGATAGATAAAATTGTACAATATGTAAAAGTAGATATAAGTTTGTGCAGCGTAAACGTCAAAACAGTCTCTTTTTTTTGGAACGGCATGAAGGAAAGTACAGCATTTATTGTAGGGTGCTAATAAGTAAGGAGAACAGGCAGCTAATGCCCAAAATATGTCCATTATCACCTATAAAGTATCACCAAAAGAAAACAGGTGAGAACTTTAAAATCAGAAAGTAAGGCCAGATAAATCTGAGGAATATATTTGAGCAGAAGACTTTGTCTTTCACATGTGAAACAACTTACCTTAAAATCTAATATGTAAAGAAATATCTGCTACTGGAATACCTGGAAGGTAACTAACCTTTTACCTCCTGGAAAAAATTGTATAGTAAGGAATTTAACTCTAATCAAAGAGAGGTCTGGCCTTTATTCTCTGCTTTTGGGAGGTGATCTCTAGTTCCTTATTATATCATGCCTGATATATCAAGCCTGGGGGCTTTAGCCACTGAACAGTCTAACAACATGGTTTATTATGAGGGCTTTGGGAAACATGGTATCAGTTTTACCTCTGTAAAGAACTGGGAATGGCTGACTAAAGGTCAGCCACATGGGCAATATGTGATCAAGTTCCAATAAAAACTCTTAACACCAAAGGTAAAGGAGAGTTAGCATAGGTAAAGGAGACTGCATAGTTAACAATGTTCTATGTGTGTTGTCTTATACTGGGCTTCCCCAGTGGTTCAGCAGTAAAGAATCCTCCTGCAATGCAGGAGAAACAGGTTTGATTCTTGTGTCAGAAAGATCTCCTGGAGGAGTAAATGACAACCCATTCCAGTATTCTTGCCTGGGAAATTCCAGGGACAGAGGAGCCTGGTGGGCTACAGTCCATGGGGTCACAGAGTCGGACATAATTTAACGACTAAACAGCAACAGCAATTGTCTTATGTTAACAGGAGGTGATGCTATCTATGACTCCATTAAAGAGAATGACCACAAGTTCCCCAACTATTACCTCACTTAGACTCTGCCATATATACTCCTTTCCTTGGCTGATTTCATCCTGTATTCTTTCCCTGTGATGCAACAGACTCATGAGTATGACAGCTTTCAGTGAGTTCTGTGAGTCCTTCTAGTGAATTATTAAAAGTAAGGGTGATTTTAGAAATCCTCTCAATTGAAATTGATGACAGAAGTGGTTAGTCTTGTGGAGTGCTCCACAAGAAGTTAGCCGGCTAACTTCTGCAGCTGGTCAAAACTCTTGACAGTTGGTATTAAGAAGTGAGATTTGCCAGAAACAGCCTGATTCACTGAAACTTGTGACCTGGGAAGAAGGAAGAGAATGTGGGGGATAACAAATCTTTACAGTCGCAAAGAATACAGGGTCACCCAAAGAATGGAGTTGCAGCTGTACTGCAATTAGTCATTGGAAACAAAATTAGCAGTTAAATTTGGAAACGGAAGATCTAACTCCTAAGGAGTTACACCAATACACAAACAATAAATGGTATCTGTACTAGCTAAAACAAAAGTAATGGAGAACGTTGAGGTAGAGCCTGAGGCTGGGTCAAGCTTGGCTTCTGGGTGGTCTGACACGTAGCTGCTACCCTAGAGCTGCTTCCCATGGAAAAATTTATGTTGAAGCAATAAATAGTAAATAAAGTTGGACTGATTCATAAGAAAATGGGGAAAGAGAAACAAGACATTCAAGGGACTTGTCCTAGCAGGGTGGAAATATTTACATGGTTATTAAGAAATGTATGAATGAAGTGAGTATTGATGGGATCAAAACAGATGTCTTAAAGAAGCAGTGTTGTGTTGAGTGGACAGATGGGAGATCTGCTGATCTCCTAACATTAAGGGATCCTAAGCAAATTTCTATTTACACATGTTTGGTGGAATTTAGAAAGATAGAAGGCAAAGAAACCTTACCTTGAATCACCTTAAGTGATGGCCCCACAATCTAATCAATATGAGGTATGACAAAAGGGTCTGTATTCCTTGGCCCATCCCAGGCCTTAAAATTCCAAGGCCACAATGCATACAAATGGCTAAACTCCTTCGGAGACAGATAAGAGACTTTTCTGGGACTCCTTGACCTGGGGGCTCCACAAGTACTGTGATTCTAAAACCTGTTGAAATACTAATGGGAGGTGGGAGGAGTATAGTTAGAATAGGAGGCTATGGGAATGCAGCAGTTGATGGGATTAAGGTAAACATTTAGATAAGAATTAGAATGTTTGGACAGTGAACTTTATGTGAATGGTGAATTTCTACCTGAATGTATTATAAGGATGCAGGTTGTGTCTGGAGAATTCATCCCCTATCTCACACTGTAAAACAGGAGGCATGTAAATCCAGTCTTCTACTTGGACATGCTAAATGGAACCACACAGATTATTAATTTGCTGTACAAAAGCCTTGTGTGGCATGCAGATTAGGGCTTATAGCAAAAACCTGTGAGTGCCACTCAACAACTGTTGGAATTTTGGACCAAAAAATTTCCATTTGAGAGACAATTACTACTTGCTATTGGACTTTAACTGAGACTGTCCTTATGACTAAAGGGCACACAATAACTCTGAAACCTGAAATATCTATAATGCCTTGGTAATTTCAGAGAAAAGCTCTAATAAGGAAGGAAGGCAATGCCCAGGAGAGTTCCATAATAAAATGGAAATGTTGCATATAGAATCATGCTACCAGGAGAATGCAAGGAGGTACTCACGAGCAGGCATCCTCTTTTCACCTAGGGCTGACTTCGGAACCACCTGAGGAGCTGCTGGATCCTATGGCCACTTGGGCCACTTGGGCGGTGCCCTATAAACAGCTTTCTATTGATCAACAAAGAGCTGCTTGGTTTATGGATGGCAATTCCAAGGTGAAGGGACAGCATCCTGTTTGGAAGGCCGCCACTCTGATTGAAGAAGGTAAAAACAAATCAGCTCCATGGGCTGAACTGCTTGTTTGCCCCTATGTCTGGGTTTTTACTGACTCATGGGAAGTGTTCAAATGGCCTAGTCACATGGTCAGGCAGATGGGCAATGGAAAACTGGTCTATTAAAGGTTTACCTATATGGGGTATGGCTCTATGGAAATCACTCTGGGAATGTAATGGGTATATTAAAGCAGACTGTTAATGCCCATCAGAAGAACTCCCTTTCAGAATTGGAAGTTGACTAGTACTGGAGAGCAGATATCCTGGTATACTTGTTTGACATGGCCACCTGGGCCCATGAGATGAGTGGACACTAGGGGCCTATAGAAGGCAGAAACGGGCTGAATCTAGATATATTCCTCTTACACTATGAGGCACAAATGCCAATAAGAACTGTTTTGTCTGCTATAAAGAGAGACAGAGATGGCAGAGGGCTATGCAGCAAATTCCCCAAGGGAAAAGTCCTATGCATATCTGGCAAGTTGGGCTGATGTTATTAGTCCAACTAACTACAAATGGGTACAAGGCTACAAATGAGGTCTACTAGGTTTAGACACTTAATATGGATGAGCTTTGTTTATTCCAGAGTAGATAAACATGCTCAATGGATTATAAAAGGACCAGAACAGAAGATACTGTGTCAGTGACCATGGAGGCACACATCTTTAGACCACGGAACACACTTTCATCTTCAGAGCAATAATATGATAGAAAACTGAAACGGGCAGTTGAAACACTTGTCTAAAATGGGAGGAGATAAATGCATGAAGCCTTCATTAGTGTATGATCATATTCAACATCAGAGAGGCTAAGTGAGTGTTCTCTCCAGACAGATTTGTCTGCTTTTCTGGTGAGAGGGGATGGAAAAGCATGTTTGTACAACTACACTTTTCTCTTTACAATTATCCTTTTTCTTTTTCCCCCACATCACCTGAACGCTCTTCTTTTCTATGTGATGCATAGTGGTCTGAGGACCAGGGCTATAACTGTGGGTGCCAGAGGCAGGGATGATTCTTAGGCTGAAACTGTAACTATACTTATAAACCTTTATGTCAGAATTCCTAAGGGTCTGATGGTGCAGACTATGTCTTACTCCATCTGGCCAAATTGGGCTTAAGAGTAAATGCAATTAAATTGCCTGGTGTTTCAGACTGCCCACTAACTCTGTACCTATGTAACCTTATCTTATACAAATGGAAAGGATTGAGAGGGAAGTACTTGTTGAACTAGTATTACTGATGGCCATCTGGACCAGCCCAGTGGCTAAATCAAGTCTCATTCAAGATGTTCAAAGGAAATGCTTGAATATAAATGGAAAGAAGGAGAAATGGTAGTTGAAGGTAAAGGAATGAGTTTAAAGGGGTTATGCAGCAGGGAAATCCAGTATTACTTTGTTGCCTCAAAAGTAGCTTAAAACAAGGGATGATACTGTTTCTTGGCTCAGCTGTAGCAGATGCTAGAAAGGGAAGAGGCATAGGTTGCTATTGGAACCTGACAAGTCTGTAAACCTGAGAAGCATCGCTCTGGGATACATCTTGATCATATGATATGAAGACGACTAAGTTAACTGTTAATGTGTATATAGGATTCCAGTAATGTTTCAGTATCTTTTGACTCTTATTTTTCAGGTTATATTTACTACTATACTATGATATAATACAAGCATTGTTAGTAAGATTATACTGCTGATATTGATGGCCACATGTACTGGGGATTTGAGTTAAAGCCTTCTCAATATGTAACACCAATGGGAAATCACTGGCCTGAGCAAGAGAGCTAATTTCTATGGTAAACAGTTCTGTGCGAATGTATCATAGGGTACAGTAACAGAAGATCAAGGTAGAAAATTAGTAAATGAGTACAAAAATATGAAAATTTGTATAATGGCTTTAGAGGATGAATTACTCATTTCTCTAAATTTAGTCCTATCTCTCTCTGGCTCCTCCAAATTTTAGGCATATTCACACTACTACTGTTGTTGTGTCTATAATATAAATGCTATAGTAAATACAGATGCTCAGCCAGACAAATATTATTGTTTCGTTGTAAGAAAGCCTTGGTCAGAGGCCAGGGGGTAGCTTGTATAATGAAAATTTAACTTTACCCAAAGAGAATCTGGCCTATGCCCTTAGTTACTGGGAAATGAAAGGAGTGTCTTTTTTCTGTGTGGAAACTTTTGCTACCAGGCAGTCTAACAGTGTGATTTATTATGGAGACTTTGGGAAATGTGCTTTTTGGCTCTGGTAAGTGTTGGAGACTACAAGTATTAGCGCAGCCTCTGGGAAATGCAAGAGACTAAAGGTCAGCCATATGGGCAATATATGATGTACCTCAATAAAAATTATGGATGCTAAGGACTTAGAGCTTCCCTGATAAGCAATAAACCTTGTGTCATTACATACTGATGCCCAAAGAGTAATGTGTTCATGACTCCACAGGGAGAAGAGATTAGAAGCTCTTCTCCATTTGGTACTTCTTTATTCTGTCTTATGCACCTCCTTCCCCAGTTGATTTTAATCTGTATCCTTTCCATATAATAAACCATAACTATGAGTATACCACCTTTCAATGAGTTCTCTGAATCTGTTGAGTGAATTATTGAAACAGAGGGTATTCTGGGAATGCACTGAACTGCAATTGGTGTCAGAAGTGAGGTCTTGTGGAGGGCTCCAACTTCCTGTATGGCTAACTCACAGCTGGCCAAATTTCTCAAACTAAACCATATATATCTGAAGACTGCTTACCTGAGATCCTTTCTTGCTACCTGGCAAGTTAATTATGAGAGTTTTCCCTCTGATTCCACATACAGGCCTGGAAGGAAAAAGAAACTGGATGAATACTAACTTAGCATGATGGTTGGTTTAAATACATTCAACAAAGACCAATCATTGTTTTTATATGTGAACAACTTTTTAAGGAATAAAACTGTTACAGCTAAATATTTACCAATTATTATACAAATTGGGCACTCTCTCTGGCTGAGGTTTATATAACAATGGTTAGTGTGGTGGATTAGAAAAATGTACTGAACATGAAATCAGAATAAATTAGCCACTTTAAAGAAATAACGGCCAAATTATCTTCTTTTTCTAACTTCAGCTTTTTCATATCTCTTACAGTTCTAAGAATTCAACGAGATAGCATACTAAAAATGACTACTATAGTAATGTCTATGTTCAAAAGTCTAACACGTAAGGCACTCTGGCCTTGAGTGAGATGTTTAAACTCTTGTTTCTCAGGGAACAAGAAACTCTTGTTTTCTATAAGAAACAAGACACTCTTGTTTCTCTATAAGTTTTGAAGTAAGAATAGACTTTTGGACTCAGTGGGAGAAGAAGAGGGTGGGATGATTTGAGAGAACAGCATTGAAACATATGCATTACCATACGTAAAACAGATAACCAGTCCGAGTCTGATGTATGATACAGGGCACCCAAAGCTGGCCCTCTGTGTCAACCTGGAGGGATAAGGTGGGGAGGGAGGTGGCACAGGAGATCAGGGTGGAGGGGACACATATAGACCTACGGCCGACTCATACTGATGCATGTCAAAAACTATCACAATATTGTGAAGTAATTATCCTTCAATTAAAATAAGTAAATAAATTAAAAAAAAAGTGAGACAGGTCTCTCATAGATCAATAGCACTGGGGAGAATTTAGAGAGCTCAGCTATTGACTGATAAATTGATAAACAAGAGTCAATTTAAAGTATAAAGGTCTTTCAGAGTTCACTGTAAATTTTCAGGTCACTTTAAAATCAAGTGGTTAGATAAGAAACATAAGCAGTTGAAAAGTATGAAAGCTGGAATAACGAGTTGAAGGCCTAGATTTCAAATGAGAGTTTGAATCATGCTCTTCCAATAACTGGCTATCTGACTCTGACCTGGTAACATATAATTTCCATTATTTGAAAACAAAAGGACTAGATTCAATTAGTCTATTACTAAAATTTTATAATTCAGATTGTAAGTCACATAAGAATGTTTTTCTACAACTTTTAATTGAGTTTCTTATTTAACTTTTTGAAATAACCTAAAATTGTCTTGTATTTTGTTTTTCTTATCTTAGAAAGTGCTCATAGCTATTTAAAACTGTCCATACAGCTTTCCTTTTAATTGAGATATAATTGACAAATAACACTATATTAATTTTAGGTGTACAACATGATGATTTGATATATGTATATATTACAGAATGATTACTACAATAGATTTAGCTAATATCTATCACCACACATTGTACAATTTTTCTCTTGTGATGAGAAATTTTACAATCTATTCTCAGAAAGTTTCAACCAAACAATATTTTTAACTATAATCAACATGCTGTATATTACATCCCCAGGATTTATAAATGGAAGTTCATGCCTTTTGACTCCTTTCACGCATTTAACCCACTCACCAACCCATGCCTCTGGCAACTGCCAATCTGTTTCTCTGTATCTGGTGGTTTAGTGGCTAAGTCGTGTCCAACTCTTGTGACCCCATGGACAAAGGAGCCTAGCAGGTTACAGTCCATGGGCTTCTCCAGGCAAGAATACTAGAGTGGACTGCCATTTCCTTCTCCAGGGGATCTTCCTGATCCAGGGATAGAACCATGGTCTCCTGCATTGCAGGCAGATTCTTTACTGACTGAGCTATGAGGGAAGCCCAATCAACTCTTTGTATCTATGAGTTGATTATTATTAGAGTACATATACAAGTGAAATCATACAGTCTTTGTTTTTGTCTGACCTATTTCACTTAGCACAATAGACTCAAGGTCCATTCAAACTGTTACAAGTAGCAAGATTTCATTTTTTATGACTCATGTCCTATAGCATATATGTACCTCATTTTCTTTATCCATTCATCCATCAATGGACACAGGTTGTTTCCGGGTCCTGGCAATAATGTTGCAGTAAAGGTGGAAATGCAGATATCTTTTCAAGATAGTGATTCTGTTTCCTTTGGATAAATATCCAAAAGGTGAATTGCTGGATCAAATGATAGTTCTATTTTTAATGTTTTTAGGAACTTCCATACTGTTTTCCACAGTGTCTGCACATAATTACACTGCCACCAACAGTGTATGAGGGTTCCCTTTTTTGCACATCCTCTCAAACACTTGTCATTTGTTGTTTTTAATAACACTCATTCTAATGGGTGTGGAGTGAGTTCCATTTCCCTAATTAGTGATGTGGAAAATCTTCTGATGTGTCTGTTGGCTAGTCGTATGCCTGCTTTGGAAAAGTGTCTGTTCAGAACCTCTGCCCATTTTTAATTTTTTTAAAAAATTGTTCTTTATAAATTTTGAGTATCAACCACTTATAGACATATGATGTGCAAGTATCCTCTGCCATTTGGTAGGCTGTATTTTCATTTTGCTGATGGCTTCTTTTGCTGTGCAGAGCTTTTTAGTTTGATGTAGTCCCATGTGGTTAATTTTAATTTTGCTTCCTTTTCTTGAGAATACATATCCAGAAAGATATTGCTAAAACTAATGTCAAAAGCATAATGCCCATGATTTTTTTCTGGAGTTTTAAGGCTTCAGGTCTTACATTCAGGTCTTTAATCCATTTTTATTAATTTCTATATACAATCTAAGACAGGGTCTAGCTTCATTCTTTTGCATGTGCTATCTGGTTTTCCCAATACTTTCTCCATTTTAGGTTCTTTGCTCCTTTGTTGTAAATTAATTGTCCATATATCTATGGGTTTACTTCTGGGCTGTCAAATTCTAGGCTTTTGTTCCAATATTATGCTGTTTTGATTGTTACAGATTTGCAGTATAATTTGAAATCAGGGAGTGTCATATCTTCAGTTTGATCATTTTTTTCAAGATTGCTTTTCTATCCAAGGGTCTTCTGCTATTTTTTACAAATTATAGGATTTTTTTTGTTCTATTTACATGAAAATTATCATTGTATTTTGATGGGGATTCCACTGAATCTACAGGTTGCTTTAGGTAATGCGTACATTTTAACAATGCTAATTCTTGCAACTCATGAACATGGACTATCTTTCCATTTCTTTGTGTCTTATTCAGTTTCTTTCAACATGTCTTGTAGTTTTTACTTCCTTGGATTAAAATCTTCCTAGGTATTTTAATTTTTGTTGCAACTGTAAAATGAATTGTTTTCTTAATTTCTCATTATGCTAGTTCATTCTTAGCATACAGAAATGCAACAGATTTTTGTATGTTTATTTTTATCCTGAAGTTTATTTCATTCATTTATTATTTTTAATAGTTTTTCTATGGAATCTTAAGGGTTTTCTATATATAAAATCATGTCATCCACAAATACTGACAGTTTTACTTCTTCCTTTCCAATTTGGAATTTTATTTCTTCTTCTTACTTAATTGCTATAGCTAGAATTTAACCACCATGTTGAGTAAGATTGGCAAGAATGGTATCCTTTTCTTGGTCCCAATCTGAGAGGAAAATCTTTCAGTTTTTCACTACTGAGTATGTTAGCTGTGGGTCTGTCATATATGGCCTTTACCATATTGATGTATGCTCCTTCCAGCTCATTTTATTTTATTTTACTTTAATGATAAATAGGTGCTGACTCTTGTCAATGTGTTTTTCTTGCATCTATTGATAAAATAATCATGATTTTTATCCTTCATTTTTGTTAAAGTGTTATATTATGCTGATTGATTTGTGGATATTAAACTGTTTTTATATCCCTGGAGTAAATCCTATTTGACCATGGTGTATGATCCTTTTAACATATTGTTGTATTCATTTGCTAATGTTTCGTCTAGATGTTTTGCATCTAAGTTCATCAGACATACCGGCCTGTGATTTTCTTTGTGCTGTCCTTGTCTGATTTTGGTACTAGAGTAGTGCTGGCTCATAAAGAGAGCTATGGAGCGCTCCTGTTTCTTCTAGTGCTGGAAGAGTTTGAGGAGAACTGGTACCAATTCTTCAAACGTTTGGTAGAATTCACCAACTAAGTTGTTTTGTACTGGATGCTGTTTCTTGGGAGGTTTCTGATTACTTTTCTTTCTCCCTACTAGTGAGTGATCTATTCATTTGCATGATTCAGTCCTGGAAAAATGTATGATTCTAAGAATTGATACATTTCTTATAGGTTGCCCAATTTTTTGATCTGTACTGTTCAGTCTTCTCTTACAATCCTTTATAGTTCTGTGATATTGTTTGCCATTTCTCCTTGTTTCTGATTTTATAAGTCAGTCTAGCTAAGGCTTTGCCAATTTCATTTTCTCTTCCAAGAACTACTTCTTAGTTTCATTAACTTTTTCTATCGCCTTGTTAGTCTCTACTTCATTTATTTCTGCTCTGACTTTTATTTTCTCCCTTATATTGATGTTAGACTTTCTCCCCCCAACCCACCCAGTTCCTTTAGGTATAAGGTTAGACTTTTGATTTGAGATATTTCTTATTTCTTGAGGGAGAGCTTATTGCTATAAATCTCCTTCTAAGTGTGGCTTTTGCTATATCCCATAGATTTTTATATGTTGTATTTTCATTTTTATTTGTGGTCAGGTATTTTTTGATTTCTGCTTTTGATTTTTTTCATCGACTCACAGCTGTTCAATAGCATGTCATTTAGTCTCCAGGTATTTGTGATTTTTCCAGTTTTCTTCTTGTATCAATAGTTGATCATGGCAAGGTGAAAAATATGCCTAATATGATTTCAATATTTAAATTTATTGAGACTTGCTTTGTGTTTCAACATAAGGTATATTCTTAATAATGGTCCATATGCCTTAAAGAAGAATATCAATTTTTATTTATTCCTTTATGATTTGGGTAACTTATTTCTTTTCCTTGTCTAAGTGCTCTGGCTGGGACTTCCAA